TGTGAGTTCCAGAAAGTGAAGATGATTAGGGGCCATCTTGAAGGCTGTTATGGGCCGAATCGTGTGCCCCTAAAATTTGTAGGTTGAAGTCCTAACCCCCGGCTCCCCAGAACGCGACTGTATTTGAAGAGAGGGTCTTTAAAGAGGAGTTTAAGTTAGATTAAGGTCATACGGGTGCTAATGCAATATACCTCGTGTCCTTATAAGAAGAGGAAGTTAGGACACAGACACAGAGAAGACCACGCAAGGACACGGAGAGAGGACAGCCATCCACAAGCCCAAGAGAGAGACCTCAGAGGAGGAACAACCCTGTGGACACCTTGGACTCCCAGCCTCCAGAACAGACAGGAAATACATTTCTGCTCTTTAAGCTCCCAGCGGGTGGTACTTGTTACAGCAACCCTAGCAAACGAATACTTGGAAATAACCCTCAACTATGAAATAAAAGGGAAGACGCACAAGACAATGACTAAGCCAGCTGTGAGACCATCTTCAAAAAGTGACATCTGTTTGTCCCACAAGTTCCGAACAGAGCTACATCTGGTGTCTTATCTTGAGGGTGCTGACCCTTCAAAGAACGCCTGAAAGAGCATCCAGCAAGTCAGATCCGTCCGAACTTTTGTCTTGTCGAGTGAAAGAGAAGGAAAGTATGAAAGTGATCGATCACTGTTGGCCCCACGTGAACACCAGTGAAGCTACATCTTAACACGGAAGGGGGTGTGCCTTCCCACAGACCTGGGCATGAACTTCAGGAAGTTTCCCCTGGCTGGGCATCCACTGTGACATGTCATTTCCTGCTGCAGTTACATTTTCTGGGTGGGCTCCAGGGATCCTGCTGTTTCCTCAATAAGAGAACGAGAATACCACCCAGTCGGCCTCAAGGTCTGGGCTAAGGCCATGGCAAGGCCAAGTGTGGGTGGGCCTCGACTTCCCAGCCAAAGATTAAGGTGCCAGGGGCCCCCACTGCCAAGAGCAGCCTAATTATCAAAATAAACACACCTTGTGAGGATTAATTAACTTCAGTTTCAGTGTTAAACAATAGCTAAAAAAATAAAAATTAAATGGTTGAATATCGTGTTATCAGATGGATTGGGGGTGAAGGATAGTTTGCCAGGAAGAGAGGGTGCAAACAAAATCAGCCTAGGAGGGAGATAATCACTGGGAAAAAAAATCCTGCAAACAGTTCAGAGCTCAGCGTCAACGAGGATACAGTCAGACCTGAGTCTGACCTGAATTACCTTGGGCCTCTTCCTGAAAACACACTGTGGGTTTCACTCTGACCAAGATAAACTCTTTTGCTCCCAGGGTAATTTAAGAGTGCAGAAGCATGCCTCTATGCTCGTCACAAGACTTCCTGGATCAAAGAGGGTTGTGGTCTTACAAATGAGAGGGGTTTCTTTTTCCTTCCTCTGTTAGCCTTAAAGAATATGGTCAGGCACACACCCTAAGGAAATAAAAGGTTTCTAGGGCACTCATACAATTCTGCCAGGAGTGTGAATTAGAAGAACTTTTCTGGATAACAGTTTGGCCGTGTGTATCAAAAGCCTTAATATTTTGAGTAGCCTTTGACAAAGCAATCTACTTCCAAGAATTCCTGTGGAAACTACCGTGCTGGTGTGCAAACATGTAGCTCTAAGGATGTTCCACATAAAACGGCTTCTATTTATTTATTTATTTGAGAGAAAGAGAGTGTGGGTTGGGGGAGGGACAGAGGGAACGGGAGAATCTCCAGCAGATTCCCTGCTGAGCATGGGCTCCATCCCAGGACCCTGAAATCATGACATGAGCCAAAATCAAGAGTCGGATGCCTAACTGACTGAACCATCCAGACGCCCCCACATAGAACTGCTTCTAATGTTCAAAACCAGAAATCATCTGAACGATGATTGCATCGGGTATTGTAAATAGAGCTGGCGCATCCATACGATGAAAAACTATGCAATTCTTTAAAATGATGTTCATGTTAAAATTTGTGCAGATATATTAAATGGGAAAAAGTAGCATACAAAGTGATATGTATATGACACCATTAGGGGGAAAGACATTCACATACAGAAAGGTGGCCAGAAGGAGTTTCCTTAAAGGTTAATGGTTTTGTTGTTGTTGGTTTTTTTTTTTTTTTTTTTTTTTTTTTCGGATTTACCGGGAATCTTTATTTTCCTAGTTTGGGCTTATCTGTGCTTTTCGAGTTTTCAACTACAAACATGTATTTCCTTTGCAACAGAATAAACAATAGTTACATCAGACTTCTAAGAATAATTTCATTAACTCAGACAGCTACTTCTTCCCAATGCAGAAATCATACATCCCATTCTCAGATCTCTTGACTGTGAATTCTGAAGGGTTTAGAGAAAGGCTAGGTGAGCCTATAGACTCTTGGAAATGAAACTGCTGAGTCTGAGGATGTGAAATGTGTCAATTTAAAAGATGTCAGTGTATGTTCTAGAGTCGGTCTACCCTCTCACCAGCCATGTTCAAGAGTTTCCATTGATAGGTATCTTCTTCAACACTTGGGATTGTCAGTCTTCTTAAGTTTTGCTGATCTAGAAAGTGCAAAATATTATTTTCATTGTGGCCTTAATTTGTATGCCCCTGATTTACATATTATGTATACAAACTATTATATATAACTTATTATAATATATATATATTACATATCTGATAAACAGTCCCTGTCACAGAGCATTGGGAACATACCATATCAGTTGATGGACAAGTGCTGAGAATAGCCTGTCATGTTAGCTGTTGTTGTAAGTGAACTGAACTTTGTAAGGTCTCTAAAATTCTCTCCTCTGTTCTCTGCTCTCCAAGCTCTTAATTCCTTCCAGTGTGTATTATTTTTTTAAGGATTTTATTTATTTATGTATTTATGTATTTATGTATGTATTTATTTATTTAGATAGTGGGGGTCAGACAGAGGGGGAGAGAGAGAGAAACTCCAGCAGACTCCCCACTGAGCAAGAAGCCCCACGCTGGACTCAATCCTACGACCCTGAGGTCATGACCTGAGCCAAAAACCAAGAGTCGGACACTCAACCAACTGAGCCCACAGGCACCCCGCCCATTGCTTCCAAGCTGAGTTTGGTTCCCTTTCCCTCTGGGGCCTCCCATACACTGTCCGTAAAGGACAGTAGGGTCAGGCCATTTCTTTAGGTCTCAGCTGGTGAAGTCGGAGAATCCTGCGTTGGGTACTTGTACTCATGAAAACATTAACCAGCCATATTGGCTCAAGGAATAGCTTCAGTAAGGAGTGAACTTCCTTCTAGAAATCAGTGCCTATTTTTCCTGGAAACCCCATTTTAAATAGTCCAGTTCCATCTGAAGTCAAGCTGTTGTCATCGCTTTCATTCCATGACATTCTCTACCAACACCCAGTAGGTTAGACAAACCACTTTTTTGATTTAGAGATATTTACGTCCTTTGTATTACACTTACTTTGAAGGAGAAAAAAAATGCTTGAAAAATAAAGTCTGTCTTTGGCTAAGCATTCACAGGCAAGCTCAGCCTCTCTCCAGGTTCCTTTTCCTGCTCATTCTCTGTGGCTTCCCTGTCCATACCCACTATTCCAGCTCACAGTCAGCCCCCTGGCCTCCCCTGAAGTGACGCTAGCCCCCTTACTTTGGTATTCGTGCTTTTCTGTCTTGCTTGCTCCTACCCAATTCATGCACTTTCTCTGTGACCAAGTCCCTCTGCCCTAGAAAGCCTGTTGTGACCATGCTGGTCCACACTGATCTCTCCCGACTCTGACCCCAGCACCTCTCGTCCTGGCCACGCACTGCTGATGCTCATGCCCTGTTTCACATTGTTAGACATCAGGTCCCATGTGTGGGTTTTGTCTCCAGCTCCAGCACATTGTGTGAATGCAAGGTAGACTTCTTTGACTTGTTTTTCTTTTCAGCACATAGCATCTCCGCACCTCAGCTCTGTACATGTGAAATTCATCTTTACTAATTGTGATGGCGTTGTGCCAGGTGCTGAAAAACATACCCTCATGTTTATGAGTTCATTTCATTCATTCATCAGTTATTTACTGGGCTTCGACACTGGGCCAGGATGTGGGATTTTGATGACAAACAAGACAGAAAGAGTCCCTGTCCTCTTGGAGCTTATGTTCACACAGGGGAGATGGATTCTCAAAGTAGACAAATGGGGTGCCTGGGTGCCTCAGTCAGTTAAGCATCCAACTCTTGATTTCAGGTCATGATCTCAGGGTCTTGAGATCAAGCCCCACATCCGGCTCCACGCTGAGTGTGGATCCTGCTTAAGATTCTCTTTCTTCCTCAGGGCACCTGGGTGGCTCCATCGGTTAAATGTCTGCCTTCAACTCAGGTCATGATCCCAGGGTCTTGGGATCGAGCCCCAAGTCGGGCTCTTGGCTCACAGGGAAGCCTGTTTTTCCCTCTCCCCCTGCCCCTCCCCCTCCCTGTGTGCGTTCTCTCTCTCTCCCTCAAGTAAATAAATAAAATCTTAAAAAAAAAAGATTCTCTCTTCCTCTCCCTCTGTACCTGCCCCCCGCCCACTCACGTGTGCGTGCTCTCTCTCCCTTAAAAAAAAAAAATAAATGGCAAATAAAATATTTTAAGGCGTGGTAAGGGGCATAAAAGAAATAATCTTCATTCAGCGTTCTACATATTTTGCCTGTTCTGTGTACAAGGCCAGTTACGTAATTTGTGGGGCTTGATGCAGAATGAAAATGTAGGACCCCTTGCTCAAAAATATGTAAGAGTTTCAAGATGGTGACAGCGGAGCATCACAGTAAGCTCAGGGCCCTTCTAACACATGTCATGGAGCCCGCTCTGCCTATAGGGGACTTAGCCCATATGATTTATATGGGAAAGCATCTTGGGTACTTTAATGAGAGAGAAAATTATCCGAGAAACTATCTCCATGAGACTGGAAACCCAGCCCAGTGTATTTACTTACAGAAAATAGCATAAGCTGTGCGGCCAGCCAGATACAGATGCAGCCTAAAATTCCTGTTGATGTTCCCTGCCTTTCAGACTGCCTGTCTTATTCAGCTTTGCAAGAATTATCCAGGAGGTGCTATGGGAAGCAGAGATGCAAAGTCATGGTCAACAATCACCATTTTGGGAGCCCCTGTCTGCCAGGAGTGAAACAATACCTCACTGTCACCTATGCGTGTGGTAAGGACACAGACCCTGCCTCTCTGGGAGGTGATCATGGGAGCAAAAGGCATTTTTCATGCAACAAACCAAATGATGTTACTCGAAACTGTGTTGTCATCCCAGATATTCCAGAGTACATTTTTTTTAAATCCTTTATTCCTATCTATGATGTTCATATTAAAGAAGCAATACAAGTTCTTTGGTCAAAATTCATTTTGAAAGTACTTTTAGCGATCAGATTGGCAGCAAATGGGAAGAGTAGGAAAAGAACAAGCAAATGGGAGAAGAGTGATTTTAACCTGGGTGCTTAGGAGGCTCTGAAATTTATAGGTACATTACGCAAGCTCCCAGAAGTCTTGTTTGGCTACCGCTTCACCTTGCAGTCTTGGTTTGAGGCTCTAAATGACTCTCTATGCCGCCAACAGCCATTTTATCTGCATACCCACAAGCGGTGAGTCAACAGATCAAATGCTTACCCAAAAACAATTAAAAATGTTACATGACAGCAGGACTTGGTTTTCCCAGCGTCTTCAAACAAGAAAATGAAATGCCTGGTTCAGTGGAGTCCAATTTTATAGAGCTGCCTAAAAGAGAATGGGCACTAATGATTCTCAGAGGGTACGGTAGGTAGATTTCTGGTTTGTCATCCTGACACGTGGACTGTTCATTTTGAAATGATCATAGAAGCCAAGGGAGCTCAAAGAGAACAGTATTTGAAAAACCCGATATCTGTGCTCGTGGAAACCCCTTCTCCTGCCAGATATCCCCACCTTTTTCTTCTTGTAACAGCTTTAATGAGATATAATTCACAGATCATCTGGTTCACCTCCTAAGGCATAGAAATCAATGGTTTTAGAATTTTATTTTATTCTCAGGATTTAATTTTTTTCACAGAATTGTGCAGCCAGTGCCCCAGTTAACTTAAGCACATTCTCATCATCCCCCAAAGAAACTCTGCACCCTTTAGCTGTCACCCCCAGCCCACCCCCACCCCCCCAACAACCAATCTACTTTCTGTCTCTATGGATTTGCCTCTTGTACATCTCATATAAATGGAATCATGCAGGATGTGGGGTGTTTCTTTTTTTTGTTTTTTGGGGGTTTTTTGTGTGTGTGTGTGACTGGTTCTTCTTTACGTAGCATGTTTCCAAGGTTCATCCATGTTGTAGCATCATCAGTACTTCCTTCCTTTTTATGGTCTAAAAATGTTCCGATGCATTCCCCAGCCTTTTATATCCTGAGCTAAAAATGTTGTCCTCTGCAGTATGAAAGCTGGAATCGGTACCATACGGTGGCTGCATGGATGCATTTCCAAACTAAGAGTGTCACACGTGCACTGCAGGAAGTGTGGTTTGACTTCATCTCTCAGGCTTTATTCCTGCTTCCGTGCCGGAGCAGCTCTGGGGTCCCCCAAGAAGCCACACAGATCACTCTGATGTTCTAGTAGCGTCTGGCCTCTCCAGCTGAGTGTTGAAGGAGTGTAGCCTGCAAATGAGGTGAATTTCTTGCTGTGCCTTCAGGAATGAGGTGACAGCTCCTAGGGCTGGGGCTCTTCTTAGCGGAGAGAAGGTGGGCTCTCAGGGCCTGGAGGTCCTGCTTCAGTTCAAGCTTCTTCTCCCTCGTCCATTCATTCAGTGCGCTGTGGGCATGTGCACTGTGTCAGGGTGGTGCCCGGTGCCAAGAATTGGGTGGTTTAAAAAAAGGGGGGCATGGTTCTTGTCCTTGGAATTATCAGTTGAGGGTGAGAGATGGCCACTAAACAAACGAGCAGGCAAACCCACCAGGTAAATCTGGGCAGCCCATGTGAAGTGCCGAGCAGGGGGGAGGCGCAGAGCTGGTGAGGTCAAGGTGGCATGAAATAGCTCCGGAGCGGCCAGGACCTGGTTTTGCAGGGTCCTCGGTGGAGGTGCCAGTGGAGGGCTTGCCATGGGGCAGTCAGACCCCTATGATGCCTGGACTCTTTTTTTTTTTTTTTTAAGATTTTATTTATTTATTTGAGACAGAGAATGAGAGACAGAGAGCATGAGAGGGGGAGGAGGGTCAGAGGGAGAAGCAGACTCCCTGCCGAGGAGGGAGCCCGATGCGGGACTCGATCCTGGGACTCCAGGATCATGACCTGAGCCGAAGGCAGTCGCTTAACCAACTGAGCCACCCAGGCGCCCCGATGCCTGGACTCTTAAGAGACCAGTCTATGGGCTGTGGGGTGGGGAATGGGTTGCAGTGGACTGGGGGTGGGCGGCCAGTTGGAACAAGAGCGAGTAAAAAATCTGTGAAGGGTTTGGAAAGTGGGAAGATGTGAGAGATGCTGAGGACACATGCCTGGTGGAAAGATTGGGGGCCCAGAGGAGGCAGAGGGACGGGGTCAGCCTCAGATGGGCGTGAAGGATGTTTCCCTTGTCACAGCGTGACAGGAGGCTCTGAGAGTGGCTGGGGGGCTTTCTGTTCTGTCTCCGGGCCTCTGTCTTCTCTGAGTATGAGAGGAGGTCATCAGCTGTGAGGATCAGGGAGGGAAGAGCGTTGGAGAAGAGGAGAGAAGGTATAAAGGAAGTGCTGCAGGGGGCAGGAGGCTAGTGCCAGAGTTCTCAGGGACACTGGTCTGCCCGCTGGTGTGGTTCCTTCCAGCGTGGCCAGCTCCTTGAGAGCAGACATGAGAAGAGGGGTCCTCCAGGCTCCCTGGTCAATGGTAAAGGAGGGAGAGAGTTGGGGTGCTCCCAAGCGAGTGATCACAGTGGTGGATAGAGGAATCCGAGCTGCAGACAGGAGGGTCTCCAGGAAGAAGGGAGAGTAGGAGGGTCCCTGGAGGGGTCTGGGTGAGGTTGAGAATGGCAGAGGGAGGCACTTGAGGGAGTCCAGTTGAGGCCAGAAGGCTGAGGTCAGAGAGGGGGCTTGCAACTTGGTTTTGGTTGTGGGGCTGTGGAGGAAATGGGGCATTGATGGTGTCCTCCCGTCTCCCTAGGACGGTGCCCCCTTGTCCAGCAGTGTGGCCCCCAGGACTTATTCCAAAGGGAGGGGGTGCCTGGCACTGTGAGGCAAGTTCGTGCCCGTCTCCCCTCCCCCCACCACCCCAAGCAGACGTTTTCTAATCACCATCTATGTGGTTGGCATTTTAAAAATATACTCTCTTCCACCCCTGGCCAGATGGCTCTTCACTGTGCAGCCTGAATCATTAAAAAATGATTTGCAATGTCTGAATATTTTATAGGTCACCGAATGGGAGGGCAGGGTTCTACATTTTTAAAAAATTTCTCCCAGCTGATGTGGAAGTTGATACGAAGACCGAGGATGTTAATTAATTTCTAACTAAGAATCCGTCTTAGTTAGTGCTCTTTGGATGTGAGTGAAGGAACCAATTTGAGCTGGTTTAAGCCAAAAGGGGGATGAGGCGGGTGGGTATCAGGCCACTGAAGCCAGGGCAGGGAAGCAAGGCCTCAGGGTAGGTAGCTGCAAGGTCACGGCAAACCTCTGTCATCTCTCTTCTCTGCTTCTCATGGCACTTCTGCTGCCTTATTCTCTCCTCGCCCTCAATCTCTCTCTCTCTCCTTCTGCACCCAGCCTCCCTGTGAGCCTGAGCTGGGTGACATATGACCACCCCTATAGCCTCCATGATTTTTATGTCCTGTTTCTAACAATTATGGAGATTTGCAGTCTGACAATCTTAGTTCCAAATTTCTAACAGAAAGATATTTAATTGGCTGGGCTGGGGTCAGGTAGCCCCCCTCCCTGGATCAGCCCTGGCCAGAGACCATGTGACGTGATTATAAACATGGCTTCCTAGAGAGGGGCCCGGCCAAACCCCCAAGTCAAGATGCTCTTACATAAGAGGGTCAGGGAAGGTCCACCCCATAGATGTCTATTCCAATACCCTGCATCTAACTGCAGCGTCTGACCCAGATTTGCTGTTCCACCCAGCAATCTTGCTGTGCCCCCCCAGGGGACAGGACACCCCACTCCATGGGGGTGGGGAGGGGAGAGGTGCGTTAGGGACAAGTACTGAACATCAAGCTCTGGGCCCTCATTTCTGTAGAAACAAAGGCCACCCATCTCCAATATGACCCAGGAGACAAGGCAGGGATGCCTCAGCCATAGGGACTCTGATTGCACCTGTTGGTAGGGGGTAGGGAAATTACAATGAACAGTATGATCTCTGCTCTGGAGACTTGGGGGACAAGGAGGGCTTCCTGGGGGAGGTGGCATTAGAGGCAAGTAAGACCAGGTGTGTAGGAGTCAGCAAAGTGAAGGTGGGAGGAGGGAAGGGCAACTGGAGTAGCACTGGAGGGACTTGGGGGATGGGAAGTTAAGCTAGGCTTTTACCCAAGGAGGGGAGCCCCTGACAAATTGTCTCAGGGGACCTAATCAATTTGCATTTTAAAAAGAACTCTCCTCCCTATTTTATAGAGCTTCATTTAATCCTGGCTCTCTCTTCCCCGCAGGGCTTAGGCTGGGCAGAGAATTTCTGCATCTCTGTGGAGCCCTGGGGCATGATTCAGGCTGTGGGCCCTTTGCTCTTCCGAACTGTAGGCAGCACGTCTGGATAATGTCAGACCACTCAGCACAGAGCACATTGATGGGGCTGGGATGCATTCCTCCAGTATTCTTCTTTAGTGCATTGCTAAATGAGGTCCTCTGTGTGTTCCCTCCGAGTTTAAGCATTAGCCGCACTTCTTGGATATGCTGGATTTCAGACTTTCCTCCTCACAGGATAAGCCAGACCTGGAAAACTCAGCCTGCTCTCCCCCCTCACATCTGCAGGGAGGACTCTCCGTATCCATAGCCACTAGTACTCAAGAGTCACCAAGACAGAGGCATGGCCAGCATCCCCACCCTGATATGCCTGAAAGGTACAAGAAATGCATGGACCTCAGCCTAGGGCCTGAATAGCTCCTACCAGGAGATGGGGCAGGCAGGTGGGTGCCAGGATTTGGGGACAGGTGGGATGGCGGTACCAAGATTTAGGGACAAGGGGAATAGGTTCCAGGATTTGGGGGCAGTGGGGAAGGGGGGTACTAGGATTGGGGGCAGGAGGGAAGGGAGATACCAGGATTGAGGGACAAGAGGGATGCAGTGCCAGGATTTGGGGACAGATGGTATAGGAGATGCTAGAATTGGGGACAGGAGGAATAGGGGGTGCAGGATTTGGGGAAAGGCAGGTTAGGGGTGTGCCAGGATTTATAGGTGCTCATGCAGTCTGGGTTCCTACTGAGAAAGAGGGGAAGTTAAGTAGAAATACCGTGTTTGTCTCTGACATGAAGAATCTTTTTGGGCCCTAAGTGAGACTTCTTTCTTAAAGTCCGCACTGACCCAAGCTTGACACAGAAGATTTATTTGGAGGTGGTGGGGAGAAGTTGAGGTGGGGGCCCTGCCCAAATTTAGTGGATCATCTTCTCTGGTTTTACCTAAACAGACTCACAGGGACTGTCTGAGTGGAAATCACTTTGCCACCTTTATGATCCTTTATCCAGTTCCCAAAGGCTGAGCGTCCCATGGACAGCACAGGATCGTGGAAAGATCAAGGGCAATGTGCACAAGACCGCGTTGAGGTGCTACCTCTTCCTAGGCGAACGGTGCATCTCTAAGCCTCAGTTGTCCCATCTGCAGGAATGGGGACAATACACATCTTCACAGGGGCACCATGAACACCAAGATGCACTGTTTGAACGTGAGCCCGGGGTCCGACGTATTAAGAGCTCCATGAATAATGGTTTGCTGGTGGTTTTACAAACGTATCTAGAATGGAGAGAGGCAGGTTTGAAGGGTGGTGGTACGTAAATCACACCCCAGCGCCATCTTCATTCTTGAAACAAGGAGATGCAAGAATCCGACAGGTGCATCAACACCTGTTCTGTTCAAGTTCCTAAAAATTCTCCCACTAGCAGGGCCATTTTCATGTAGTAAATGGGCAAGTTTCCTGACAGAAGCCTGTATCACACACGGCAGTTTAAGGTCTTATAAGGACCTGGGTATTCTGCAAAGTTCATCCAGACTGTCCTTCCTCTCTGAGCTCTTCTTCTTTCCCAAACTGTAAAGCCTCTGGCATTTACAGTGAGCCCCCCGACTCAGGCTGTATCTTGACAACAAGCCAAGAGACAGATGTCCAAGACGTGCCACTCCTGGCAGGGAGGACTTACTCCTGCCAAGGAATCAGGGGCATCCTTCCCAGGGTGCAGCATGACCAAGAGGCTTTTCATCAGAAAGCATTTTGTGGCAACACGGTTCAGCTCTCTGGGGCGCTGCTCTGCTCTCAGAATCAGTGGTGTGCCCGCCATCAGCCAAGGGACATTCCTCAGGGTCCCTGGACAGCACTGCCTCCTGTCATTGTCACCTTACAGCCCCGGATGTGACTCTCACTGCCGATGGGCATGAAGGCGCCAGGGTGTCCCGCGTGAGGAAAATGTACAATTGAGGAATGCTCTCTGGTTGTCGGTCCCAGGACATCCCTAAAAGAATTTAGTTAAGCGCTTTGAGAAAGGAAATGAGGTTTTCTTGCTGCAGAAGATGTCATACCAGCTCTTTTTTTTTTTTTAGATTTTATTTATTTATTTGACAGAGAGAGAAATAGCGAGAGCAGGAACACAAGCAGGGGGAGTGGAGAGGGAGAAGCAGGCCTCCCACCGAGCAGGGAGCCCGATGCGGGGCTCGATCCCAGGACCCCGGGATCATGACCTGAGCCGAAGACAGACGCTTAACGACTGAGCCACCCAGGCGCCCCTTACCAGCTCTTTAAAGAAAAAAATCAGTGCAGTTGAACTTGCACAGTTTATGTTGGGTCACTTCTGTTTCCTGTTGCCACTTCTCCCAGATACCAGCTGAGCTAGAGAACAAACAAAAATAAGCAATATTCTGCAGCAAAAATATTTGGTTTCCTCTCCCTTCTCCTGGCTAGCTGCGGTACACTTGGCCTTCAGAATTCTTGCTTGGCCCTCTGCATGCTACCATCCTGTCTGCTTTCCTCGGGGCATCTTGAGATAGGATGATTTATTCTTAGGGTCAGTTCAGCAGAATCTTTAATTACCTCCGAACACAGTCTGTTACAGTGCTCTCTCCTCTCATTTTTCTATTGCATTTAAAATGCCCTTAGAGCATCATTCTTTCATTCTTGCATGCAGTCTTAGAATTCTCTTCAGGCTCATTAAGGAAGTGAGGACTCAGAGCTGTGGGTGAAAAGCAGAGTTGGGCCAGGAAAGGAGGTCTGTGGTGGATTCTGAGTCAATTACAGTCATTTTGTTTCACTACATCTCAAGGGCTTCATGTTCAGAGTTACAGTGTTGTTGTTGTTGTTGTTTTAAATTTTTTTAGAGAGAGAGAAAGAGGGCATGATTGGTGGGAAGAGCAGAGAGGGAAAGAATCTCAAGCAGATTCTGCGCTGAGCTCAGAGCCCAATGCGGGGCTCGATCTCATGACCCCGAGATCATGACCTGAGCTGAAACCAAGAGTCAGACACTCAACCAACTGAGCCACCCAAGTGCCCCCAGAGTTAACAGTGTTATTGAGGTGTGATTTACATGCTCTAAGATTCACCCATTTTAAGCAAAAACAATTCAATGAGTTCTAGTAAATTTACAGAGCTAGCTACACGATGATCACCGTACTCCAATTTTGAAACATGTCCATGATCCCCAAAGTTCTCTGACACCCATGTGCAGTCAGTCCCCATTTCCACCCCTGATTCTTGGTAAGCACTACAGAACTTACTTTCTGTCTCTGTGCATTCACCTGTTCTGGATATTTCATATTAATGGAATCATACCATGTGTGGTCTTTTTTGTCTGGCTCCTTTCACTGAGCATCATGATTTTGAGGCTCACCCATGTTGTAGCAGGTGCTAGGACTTTGTTTTTTGTTATTGCTAAATATTCTGTTGGGTAGATATACCATAGCTGGTTTACTTGTTCTCCAAAATTTTACCTTTCTGGGACATTTGATGGTCACATAGTTACCATTCGCCTATGTGTGTGAGTGTATCTGATAAGCAGAGTGGGTGATTTATGTACTGATTTGAAAGTGGATTTTTTTGGTATCTTCTCCACATTGCAGTGAAAAAATTATATTAAATGTACAAAGTTTTTAAAGTATTTCTTTTCTGGTTTTTAGTTCCCAAGAACATACTCACAGCGATTGATCCAGCCGTTGCTAATCTAAAACCTTCTTTGAAGCAGAAAGATGGTGAATATGGTAATTTTTATGGCTTACTACCAGCATTTCTCTTTAAGTAAAGGTAAACAGCCCCATGTGACCATAGTTGGGTGCACATTGGTTGGAATGAAAGGGGGATGTCAGGAGGTGAGCTGGAGTTACCAGCTCTGATAATGGCAGCGCTATTGCGATGGATTGCATATGGTGGCCAACATTTTGTTTTGTTTTTCAAATTATAAGTGGAATAAATCCTCCTTCCATTCCCCTCTTATTTCTTAAATGAAATATCACTTGGAAAAAGAGATCTGCTCGGAAACAAATTTGGGGTTCCTGAATTCTATGATGAGTTTGTTGGAAAGATGACCCCACCAGGAACCTGGGGGTGGCCAGACCCAGGCTGGAATTGAGGGCCTCCAAACACATGCCACCTCTGCCCTTGGGCTTTCACTGGGCTGTTGTGAGTAGGAGGGGGATGAACATTTTGGTTTTCTTATCAAATCAGACCCTTGGGGCTCCTGATGGAAACTGCAAATTTTCTGTAGAGCATCTAAGATACTACACTTTGTGTGTGTTCAAAGTTTGTTTTGTATTACTTTTATTACATTTGTGAGGTCTTTTGCCCCTAGGTATAAAAATAAAGTATGCTTGACGTGGAAAACAGGAAAGCAGCAAGAAATAGAACTCGACCCTAGTCTCAAAGCTCAGAGATTACTATTGTTAATGTTCTGTTCTTCTGGTTCCCCCAGACCTGCTCTCTGCCAGGCTCTGCATCTCCCAGCCCCACTGCTGTTTCTAAGAGGGCTCCCCACTGGACTCCATGCATATCCTGGTCCCCCAGCTGTAGAGGCCAAGAGCTCTGTGCCACCCTTCTTTTGACCTGTCTCACATCCCATGGGGTCCCCAGAGCTCTCAGGCTACCCATCAGGAGCTCCCTAAGCTCTTTCACAGCAATGTAACCAGGCATCTAAAACCAGACCTGCCCTGTACTTTGTTGGCATTTCCAAAAAAGTAGCCCCACACAATCTCCCTCCATAATCTCCCTCCTTTCTTATCTATGGTCAACAGCACAGACAGCAGCTCTGTGATTAGGTAAGCCATTATTAAGCCTCCCAGAGGCATGATGAATGACATTGCCTTTTGGATGGGAAAATCCATTTGTTCCCTTCTGTAGTGGGGTGGGTGAGTGGCACCTGAAGTTGGAACCAGCACATTTTAGAACTTCTAAATCCCTCTTATCACTTAATATTTTCAGAGACTATTTACTAAACGCTCTTCCTGGCTTAGTCTTCTGTAATTCAGTCAGAGGCCCATTGATTTGATTTCTATGACATTTTATTTATTATGGCAGTCCTGGGTTGGGAGCAGAAGTCATACCGTGAATAGCTGTGATTAATCGGTTTTGCATCTTTTATGAAACAGGTATAGACTTTGACCCAAGCAAACCGAGGGTTCTAAGGAAAGACGGAGTTATTGTTAGCAACTCTCTGGCAGCATTTGCTTACATTAGAGGTAGGTCAATAAATTGAAGCTTCCTAGAATGCTAACGGCTTTACTGAAGTCTCACTAACAGATGCGATATTTAATTACAACACTCAGCTGAAGAAAAGACTTTAAGTTTGCCTCAGCACCTGCAGTCTTGCTAAGATCTGGAAACAGTCTTGGACTCAGGTACAGTTCCAGCCAGGCTACCCACAAGAGAACCACACGGGGAGGAGGCAAACAGATAAAGTCACACCATTCAGGAGTTGGTCTCTGTGAGTATTTTCCACTTTGAAAAGTAGGAACCCGAGGAATGCATATTCCCCAGCTCTAAAATTTGGGAAGGGCAGAGGATTATTGAATCCCACCCTTGGCTGGAAGAAAATTGAGTTAAAGGATCACTTAGTAAACAAAACGGGTCATGCCCTGTGAAGGCAGAGTCCCTTCCTGAGTCACCTGTGTTACTTCTCACAGTTGCCAAGTCGTCCCTGATAATCTTCCCCTCAAGGATCAGTCAGACTCCCTACCTGGCAGAGCCAAAACTCTCATCAGTGAGGGGATGGAACCTGCCATCTTTCCTCACCTTCTGTCTGCTCATCTTAGCATCCACCATATTCTGAAATGTCGACTCTGCAAGTTTTGGCAATGCCTGCCTGACTCTGTTCAGGGAGGCCAAATCTCTGAGGCCTTGCTAAAATTCATGTTAATATACTGCATTACAGCATTACTGTTCAAGGCCTGCCGGGGCTCAGGCTCTTTCAAGTAAGCCTTTCTCAGAGGAAAATAAAGGCGGAAGGGAACAGCCCAACATAGGAGATATGAAGGACAGTCTTGGGAATCCTCTACTATTCCATCGTTTTCCTGCATCCATAGTTCTCCTGAGTGTCTGTTGTGTGGTTGTTGGTTTTCTCTGAGAATCTTCTCTCTTCAAACCACTCTCCCACTTCCACTTCTTGCAGTTCCTAAAACATTTATGAGGTCTTTCCCTCCCTTATGTAGAAAAGTAGAATGTGCTTGAAGTGGAAAACACAGGAAAGCACCAAGAAATAGAACTCTCCCCTAGTCTCAAAGCTTAAACATAACTATTGTTAATGTTCTCTTCTTCTGGATCCCCCATACCTGCTCTCTGCCAGGCTCTGCATCTTCCAGCCCCACTGTTGTTTATAACAGGGCTCCCCCCAGACCCCATGAATATCCTGGTCCCCCAGCAGTGGAGGCCCGAGAGCTCTGTGCCACCCTTGTCAGAGTTAAGAGATGTAAGGATTTTTATTGTCAAAAATATCCCCGTATTTTCAAAGTCCCTGGAGAGCTTCCTGGAGAAAAGGCATCATGAAAATCCTTCAGGGAGTAGGGATTAATCGGAAGCAATGACAACTTTGCTCACTGAGCTGTGGCCATGCTGGGCCTTGTCAGTTCCTCCCGACAACTGGGTTGGTCAGCTCCGGCTGCCATGACAAGACACTGTAGTCTGGCAGCTTCAACAGCAGAAATTCATTCTCATAGTTCTGGAGGCTGGAAGTACAAGGTACTGGCAGAATCAGTTTCTGGTAAGAATGCTCTTCTTGGCTTATAGACGGCTGCCTTCTCGCATGAGATGTGGGGGCGGGTGGGGGGGTGAGAGAGATTGAAAGAGGAAGGGAGAGAGAGAGAGAGAGGAAGAGAGAAGGAGGGAGGGAGGGAGGAAAAGAGAGTAAGAGAAGGAGAGAGAAAGAGAATGCTCTCTGTCATCCCTTCTTATAAAGACACGGATCCTGTTGGATCAGGGCCCCACCCTTAATGATCTCATTTAACCTTAATTACCCCCTTATAGGTCCTACCGCCAAATACCTTGGGGGTTAAGGCTTCAACACACGAATTTGTGGGGACACAATTCAGTCCATAGCAAAGACCCTGAGTGAGAGGACTCTGATCCCCCATTCTGCACACAGGGAAGCTTAGGGTCAGAGGAGTTGAGTCATTTGCCTGAGGCCACAGTGTGGACATCAGCTGGGCCATGATCAGACTCAACAGATATTAGACCTCTGCTCTGGTTTCTCTGAGCAAGAAGGATGCTCTTCAGGATTTTGAAGGATGGATGTTATTTATCTGAGTTACTCCCCTCCATCCTTGTCTATCCTTCTGCACACTCATTATTCCCAGAAATCATACAAGGGATTTATTCATTAGCACCCATCTCTCTGCTGAACATTAAGCATCTTAAGGGCAGATGTTTGTTCTCTTATTGTCATGCACCAGGGTCCAGGATGGGCTGGCACAGGATATATGCCCAGTTAGTCCTTAACAAATGAGCAGACGATGAATCTTCATGTGGTGTCGTGAGCTGTCCTGCACCTTATTAGCACCCCATATTTGCTCTTTATAGGCAGTCAATTTTAAAGAAATGTGAGGACAGAGGGCACATTCTGCATGGAGCACTGGGTGTTATGCACAAACAATGAATCATGGAGCACTTCATCTAAAACTAATGATATAATGTATGGGGATAAACATAAGAATAAAAAAAATAAAAAATAAATAAAAAATAAAAAAAAAGAAATGTGAGGACACTGTGGCCTTTATTTGGTTTTATTGAGGGTTGTTTAGGCACATCCATCCCCAAAAGGCACAGGGAGGAGGTCTGTCTGAAGGAGAAGCCAGCAGCAGGAGCAGCTGGAGCTGAGAGTGAGCAGGGCAACTTCTGGAAAACTCCACTCCACACTGAGTAGATTGGGTGAATCCAAAAGGACATTTCCCCAGGTCAGGCTGCAAGTGGCTTTGACACGCTGGCACAGTCACATAAACACGGGGACAAGTAGACCAGAAACCAAAACCAAAGGGCTTGTCCTGGGATGTTGGAACACAGAGGCTGGTGGAACAGATGTGAGGCTATCCAGGGGTCCCCGATGAACCACTTCTCTTTCGGCCATTTAAGTCATCGATGAACCTGTCCCCAGCAGTGAGGCATCGTTTTAGGCATGTTTGGACTTTACTCTTATCCTAACCGTGTAGACCTTGATCATTCTAGAATCTAGATCATGGGTTTGAAGAAGCCCCTAGAAAAATTCTGAAATTAGAGAAACAGAAAGGGGTGTGTGTGTGTGTGTGTATTGTGTGTATTGGTTTTAGGAAGGCAATTTATTAGCTGGCGTAGCCACTGGACCCCAGCAGACTGTGCCTAAGGAGCTTTATTTGGACAATTAGTGTTTCACTGACATCTGCTTGCTGTATGTATTTACTCCACATCTGCCCGCAGGAACGCCTTTGGTGTCCTAGTATTTCTGTCACTTGCCTCTACTTCTGTCTTCAGCCCTCTGGGAGAGCTTGTTGTGGACTGCCCGGGTGCACAGGGTACCTGGGGTAACTAGGGTAGCTGGGGTCACGGGTCAGAAAGCAGAGCTTCTCCTGAGCTGCGCAGGCATCGTTGTTTTCTACGAAAGGAATTCTAGGCGACCAGACAAACCCACATTGAAATGGAAGTATAATAACACATTCCAAAGTCAGAGTTACATGATCCCCTGTCAGGGAGGACGATTGGAAATCAGCACCGCCTTGTCACATAGGTGTGGATTCCGATGTGTTCCCACGGTCTCTAATCTTTGGTTCCGTGACAGAAAGTTATTATCACGGCTGTCAGACCAGGGCCCAGTCTCCCCCTTTGTGCTTTCACCCGACAGTAGCAGGGCCCCAGGTGGTGGAACCCTGGCCCTGGCCTCTCGGTGTCTTATTTGGACACAGTAAGCTGGAGCTGGAGCTTGGGTTGGCTCCAGACCAAAGATCTAAGGGTCAAGGGGCCTCAAAGGCCACAGGCCACCACTGTGAGATTCCTGCGGGCTTATGACGGCTGATGAAATGAAAGTCATTCACGTAAGCCCGTGACGAGCCAGCCGAGGCTGGACTGAGAACAATCGCATAGTGTGCAGATTCTGTTTTTTTTTTTTTTTTTTTAAGATTTTATTTATTTGTTTGTTAGAGAGAGAGAGACCACAAGCAGGGGGAGCAGCAGAGGGAGAGGGAGAAGCAGGCTCTCCCTGAACAGAGAGCCCGATGCGAGACTCGATCCCAGGACCCTGAGATCATGACCTGAGCCGAAGGCAGACACTTAACCGACTGAGCCACCCAGGTGCCCCATGTGCAGATTCTGTTTAACTGCATGGAGACTAATGCCTTTATCTTTCTGGAGTACATACTAGGAAAGCAGTCAGGAAAGCCTAAAGTGGTCCAATTGATTCTGGAAGACAGATGATGTGCCCTCAATGTAAAGCAGGGGGCTGTGGAGAGAGCCTGGGCCAAAGCTCAGGGTCCCAGCCACACAGTGGCTTTGGACAAGTGACACAGCTGCCTCAGGAGGGTTCGGGCCCCTCACCTCCATCTAACTAACACCTGGTGATTCTGTGACCTCAAACTAGTCAGTTCAGATGACTAGGAAGACTTGCTCCAATGGGCTTCGCCATGAATTGCCATGTCCTCCATCTTTGATCACTGGATCTCGGTGGTGTAGACGTGGCCTAGAGAGCCATCACTTGGCAGGAGGCACACCTGGGCCAGGAGGCACCTGGCATCTGATACATGAGAAGCTCTCCATGCAATAGAACCCAGACCCTTACCTCCCAGGAGCAGAAGGAGAGGAAGAAAACTAAGATTGTGGAATCCCCACCCACAGGGCACCAAGCCTCGGGCTTTAGATCCACAACCCCTTCTCCTGTGCACTTAGCAGGTGTTTGTGTAATCCCTGCTCTGCACTGGGTGCTGGGGGTTTGGTGAAGAACCAGACCATTGGGCTCCTGCCCTCGTGGAGCTTGCATTCTACAGGGTGAGAAAGGACAAAATGTGCTCAGCGGTTTAGTGACATTCAAGATGCTATGAGACCTAATGACAGGGGACCTGGCCCAACCTGGGGCCTGGAGAATAGAGGTCTAGACGAAGGAGAAAGAAAGAACATTCCAGCAGAAGGAACAGCACGTGCAAAAGTGCCAGGGTGTGAGGCCCCATGAGGAATGGAGAGAGGCTGGTGTGGCCGGAAAACAGAAATTGAGGGATGAATGAATGAGTGTTTGGAGTTTACCTTGGGGAGGGTAGCAGGGGCTGGGTCCTAGCAAGCTTCGTAGACTAGGGTCAGGTTCCAGTTCTGGCTAAGCCGAAAGAGGCCAGCTGTCCTCAGGCAGTGGCTTCCCTTACTGGCTCAGTTTGAGCCTCTGTATCAGGGGTCAGCTAACTGTGGCTCTTGGGCCAGTTTTGTAAATCAAGTTTTATTAGAACACAGCACACCTGTATGTCCGGGGCTGCTTTTGTGCTAAAAGGCAGAGTTGAAGAGTTGCAACACATACTGTATGGCCCACAAAGCCTAAGATACTTACTATCTGGCCCTTTACAGAGAAAGTCCGCCAACTCCTGTTTTATATTTTGAGGGAGTTTGCTGGATCATTATTTCCCAAAGAGGGAGTCCTAACCCCTCAGAGGGTACATAACTAAAAAATGGAGAGAGTAATAGTCCTTTCTGTTCAGGGTTAATGTAAGGATTAAACCTATGAAGGGTTTAGACCAGGGGTGCCTGGGTGGCTCAGTCGGTGAAGCGTCTGCCTTTGACTCAGGTCATGATCCCAGGGTCCCGGGGTCGAGTCCCGCGTCGGGCTCCTTGCTCAGCAGGGAAACCGCTTCTCCCTCTGCCTGCCCCTCCCCCTGCTTGTGCTCTCTCTCTCTCTCTCTCGCTGACAAATAAATAAATAAAATCTTAAAAAAAAAAAGATTTAGACCAGAATATGTAGTACAAATTAGCATCGTTTCTATTTATATTATCATTATCATACAATCATTTGGATGTCAGAAAAGCTACCAGAACTTTTATTTATATTTATTTTTTAATCTAAAGAAATAAAGCTTTGTTAACATCTACTGTTATTAGTACTTACATTCATGTATATATATATATATATACTTTATATATAAGTTAATTTTTCATAATTTACTCCTAATAGCTAACAGTTTATTGAGCATTTACTATGTGTCAGCGAATGTTCCATGAGTGTCACAGGAACTAACTATATACCAGGAAGGTGCTGTTAGCCCCATTTTACAGGTGGGGAAACTGGAGCACAGAGGGGTTATGTAACTTGCCAAAAATCGCACAGCCAATGAGTAGGAGATCAGAGTTTGCACTCAGGAGATCCAGCTTCTGAGTCCCCCTGCTATGTGTCCTCTCATGTACATACCTGTGTTGACTATATATGCTCAAAACCTTTTTTTTTTTCTTACCCAATGAGAGTACAGGATCAGTTAGGTGAGGATGGTCCCAAAGATGCTGTCCAGGACTGGCATTCTGCATTAGCTGCCAGTTTGAGCAGACAGCTGTTTCTGGGGGACTTTGGATTGGCGAAGATTGACAGCTCTTCCCGGCTCCTGACTTGTCTTTTCGCCCACAGCCCACCCCGAGAGAGCCGCACTGCTGTTCGTGTCCAGTGTCTGCATTGGTCTGGCGCTCACATTGTGCGCCTTGGTCATCCGAGTGTCCTGCACCAAGGACTTCAGGGAGCTGCAGCTGACGAGGGAGCACCTGGTGCCAGAAAGTGCCAAGGCTGAGGAAGACAGCGAGGATGAAGAGGGGGAGGAGGACTCCTCTGACTCTGATTTTCCGGGAGAACTGTCTGGGTTTTGTAGGACTTCGTATCCTGTCTACAGTTCCATAGAGGCTGCAGAGCTGGCAGAAAGGATTGAGCGCAGGGAGCAAATCATCCAGGAAATATGGATGAACAGTGGTTTGGACACTTCACTCCCAAGAAATATGGGCCAGTTCTACTGAGAAAGAGATGCGTCTTCGTGCGATCACACTTTCTGAAGAGGGAAGGATCCAAAATGCCCCTCCAGTTCTGTTTCACTTGTACCTTCTATGAAGGAGTATTTGTCAGGTCATCCAATACTGGTGAAGCCAGAAGCTATTAAAGGGACATTTCAAACTGTTTACAGTACATTTCAAAATAAATTAGGAGGGAAGTCTTTGTTTTCTGTATTTATTTAAATTCATAACATAAGAGTGCACATTTACTGAGTGCTTATAATGCCACGAGCTTCTCTAGCTGCTTTTCATGTATTAAGTCATTTAATCCCCACAACCGCTTCATGACATAGTGCTATGATCCCCATTTTACAGATGATTAAACAGGAGGTCCCCTACAAACATAAAAAAATTGAACTGATATACAGGACAGCAAGCTTGAATCCATCCACTATGTGTTCACTGGCGGTGGATTTTAATCACTAACACTACTTCTTTAGAACAGGGGTCAGCAAATTTTTTCTTTAAGGGCAAGATAATATTTTAGGCATTGTGGTTCATGCCATGACTACTCAACTCTGCATTGTAGCTCACAGGTAGCCATCCATAGCTAATCCATCATAAATGAATGTAGCTGTGTTTCAATAAAGCTTTATTTATAGACACTGGAATTTTGAATTTGATTTCATTTTCACATGTCACATATTATTCTTTGTTTTTTTTATCAATCACTTTAAAATACAAAAACCTTTCTTAGCTCACAAAAACAGGGAGCAGGCATTTGCCTGATTTTGTAAACAAAGTATGGTCCACAAGGCCTAAAATATTTACTCTCTTGCCCTTTAGAGAAAAAGTTTTTAAAGAATTTAAAGCTGCAGAGCTTTTAGTGGTAAAAGTGATCAACTAGATAACCCAGCAATCCTTTGATCCAGTGGAGTTACCTTTCAAACCATTGCAAGGGAGAAGAAAAAAAAAAAACGTAAGGAAACAGATTCCTAATGGGAGATCTGGTGAGGGGTTCCTTTGGACAGCTCCCCTGGTGGAAAGGAGGCTTATAGCTGTGGAGTAGAATAAGATATTTTTTTCTTTCTAGTCCCAGTGGGACTCAGAGTATAAAAATGATGGTGTTATATCCATCTCATATGTCCGCTATGAATGAGCTCTCTGCCTTATCTTCCTTCTCCCGAAGGTCCCACCTCTAAATACCATCCCATTAGGCATTAAGATTTGACATATGAGTTTTGGGAGGAAACATTTAGTCTACAGCAGAGTTGAAATTCCCATAATGTAAAATTAACCATTTTAAAGTGCACCAACCACTGGCATTTGGCACATTCACGATGTTGTGCAACCACCAACTCTAGTTCCAAAACAGTTTCAGCACCAGAAAATAAAACCCGAAGGCGTCACTCCTTGTCCTTCCCTCCCTCTAGCCCCCCAGCCATCTGCCTTTTGTCGGGATTTACCTATTCTGGAAAGTTCATCTAAATGGAATCACATAATATGTAGCCTTTTGTGACTGGCTTCTTTCACTTAGCACCATGTCTTCAAGGTTTGCCTATGTTGTAGGTATATCAGGGCTCCATGCTTTAATGGCGGAATGATATTCCATTGTATGAAGAGACCACATTCTGTTCATTCATTCGTCTGGTGGTGGACATCTGGGTTGTTTCCACTCTTGGCTACTGTGGCTATGCTACTATAAACATCTGTGCGCCGTATTTTAACAGCAGTGAGACTGCACACCAATTGACGACCAGAGACTTGCTGAGAAATCCTATGGTTTCCACTCAACAGAGGGAAGGGAGGGGGAAGATGAGTCAGAGTGACATCCCCTCTTTTACCCCCTACTTCTGCTGATTTCAAAATGAGCTTCCCTTACACTCACCCCCAAGAACGTGGGAGGGTAGGGTTTTGGTCAAGAGAGGTATCCTATGCACAGGCTGGGATGATTTGAACAGAGGCTGAAACTCCTCAGGATTTCCAGGTAACCGAGTCCTCTGTAATATAGGGTCCTAGGAGAGGTTGATGGGGCTGGGAATGACATGTCTTAAATCTGTCATTAGAGAGAAATCTCTTCTAGGTCATGGGGGAGAATGAAATGAACACACAGCCTCATTGTCTAACTTTTTCATGAGGGTTTTGTTCTGATCAAAGAGAACCCTTGTGCTTTCATTTCCCTGAGCCCAGCAAGGAGCACTTTGGTATTATCCCAGCTCTTGGAGAAGCCTGTCCCCGTTGTCTCCGTATCCAGCTTTGAATCAGCGTATGTTCTCTCGCTCCCTGAACATAAATACTGTCCATCTGATGACCGTCTTCTTGGGGCTGTAGAGAACATGGCCACTGATGGTTTTCACTTTACCAGTTGGAGAAAGAGCTTTGCCCACATGGACCTCAGTCATAAAGCTTGTGTTGAATGTCACAGTGGGTTTTCCCTTATCTGAGTCTTCTTCCCCAACTCCCAGCCCCCACACACGTGCACACTCCTCCCAGGACCCCCGAGGAGGCACTGGAGGACAGGCCCGCCAAGGCAAGGCCCAGTCTTTGGCCTGTGCAAATGTAGTGAGCTATTTATTTGCATTTTCTGAGCCTCACAGAAGAATGCCACGTTCTTCTCAGGGACAGAGCCTGAAGGATCCTGCTGAGAATGTGTTTGGATGGGCACCGAGCCCAGGGGGGAAGAGGACCAAACCAGATTTGGATGAAGGGTTGCTGATGGAGCGTGGTGGCTGGAGGAAGCTCCAGATTGCAAGTCCACCCAGGGAGTGTGGGGCACACACGGCTTTGTGTATCTCTGGGCAACAGACATCCCTCTGTTCTCAAGCTGTGAGGTCCCGGAAGTCCCATGACAAGAAGCCAGCCCTCTGTGGGAGGTTTGCACATGTCACTACCTCAGTTACTTGCTGCGAACACCGACTCTCCAGACATGAGCTGACAGTTGGAAAATTTGGCCCTTCTGGATTCAAGGAGCTTGTTAGTGGGGTGCTGGTATTTTGTAGATGCTGAGCATTCAGGGCCACTTTGGGGAGAAGCAGCACACACCCTGGCCCCAAGCAAGCACTGGGAAGCCCTGAAATCTGTCCCACGGCTGAGCCCACAAATGTGCAGTGCACGACACCGTGCCCCACCCAGATCCCTACACCAGGTGGCATCCACCCCAGCGGCTTGAGGGTGGCTGCAGACGGCCCACAGCCGCCCTTTCCTGCAGAGAATCAGCCCTCACATTTTTGTCTTAGTCCACTCAGACTGCTATAACAAAATGCCAGAGATGGGCAGCTTAGAAACAACAGAAATGTCTTTCTCACAGTGCTGGAGGCTGGAGGTCCAGGCTCTGGGTGCCAGTGTGGTTGGGTGAGGGCACCCTTCCTGGCTCACAGCCAGCACCTTCTCACCCGGTGGAAGGCACAGGGGAGCACTCTGGAGCCTCTTTCATAAGGGAATGAATCCCATTTACGAGAGCTCTATCCTCACGGCCTAATCACCACTCAAAGTCCTCATCTCCTAATTCTACCATATCTGGGGGTTAGGATTTCCGCATATGAATTTGGGGCAGGGGGACACAATCATTCTGAATGGAGTGATTTCTTACAAGAATTTCTCCTGAGAGCACTCCTTCAACAAATCATTCATGCAAGAATCTCCATCTCAGGAAACTGACCCGCCGTCCAGGGGGGCACTCTGAGGACCTGGGGGCATGTGCGGCTCCTATCAGCCCACACCGCGGGCATGATGTCACCCGCAGCCTCAGTGGGAGCCAGACCCAAAGGACCATCAGGGACCCTTCCCCCAATCAGGTGGTGCCAGGAAAAGAGCCAGCCTGGTATCTGGTAAGTCTTGGAAGGAGATGCCCATGGGAGCTCCCGCTCACTCTGCCCCTGGCCTTCTCTGTGGGTCTCCAGAGACCAGCTCCAGGTTACCTGGGGAACCAAGGCCTGAGGCTGAGTCCTCCCTGGCAGGTGGGGGAGTGGAGTGAGTGCTCCTTTCCACTCTCTCCCCGGGGCTGGAGCCAGTCCCCCCTACCGCAGCCCACACTTCCTAGTGGGGACTCCTGGAAAGCACCACTGCCCTGAAGCTTTCACCCTGCTCCCTGCCCCCACCTGGACACTGAAACACAGAGGCCAACCATAGTGGGCATGGCTCTGTCCCAGACTCAGTGGTCCCCTCCTGCCCTCTTGCCTCCCAGCTTCTACTCAGACTTGGTCCTAGTTTGATCTCAGGGTGACCTATCTGTGCCTCAGTTTCTTCATCCAAAAAATGGGCATAATAACAATACCTCCTTCCTAGTGGTGTTGAGGGTGACCGTGCTTCACATCCAGGAAGAACAACAGAAAAGGTAAGTTTTTATCATCAATTATTCTTCCTCCTGAGTGGCAGCATCCAGCATGGCCAAGGCATGTCACTTAGCACTTAGGGGATCTGACAGAATTCAAGGGCAAAGTAAGAACAAGCTGCTGAGGGAGAGGACCAGGCAGCCCCCTTCAGCCCTGCTACCGAGAAGACTTTGTAGAGGAAGAAAAACAGTCTGCAGGACTCGGAGGAAAGTGTTCAGGCCAGACCTTCCTTGGATTCTTTGGCCAAGTCCACGGTGGAGGCTCCCACGCATGGACTTAAAAGGCCATGCCCAGTTCTGGCAGGGTAGTTATGAACCTGGAACTATGGTCATTTGGTTTTAAGAAGCTCATTGTAAGCCTGACCACCAGTGCAGAGTTGGCCAAACTCCATCCCAAGACTGGACAGTAGTCCAGGAGATTAAATCCTAAATAAATACTCCAACTAAATGCCTTGTCAACTGGAAGCCATACTGGTCTATAGTTGGAAATAAGGCAAGGAAGAGCCATGATAACATCAACCACATAAGGGAGAATTCAGGAAGCCAGCTAATAACCGGAGGTCACCACATCCTTTTTAGGAATTTCAAATCACCAGACACCTCCTCTGGGGGGGGTGCCATGCTGGCTCCCCGGGGAATGAATGAGCCAGTATCGAATCGCAGATGTGGACCCTCCAAGGCAGTACTGTCCAGTATGGAGCCACTGGCCACATGTGGTTACCTAAATTAAATTTGAATCAGTTGATGAAATATAAAAGTCAGCTTTTCAGTCACACCAGTCACATTGTCAAGTGCTCAGGAGCCATGTGTCCCATGGCTACTGTCTTGGACAGCATGGATGGTTCTGTCTGGTGATGTTGAGCTAGCAGATCATTCAGACACACAGAC